CAAGAAATTGGTCTTCCATTCTATTTCGGAGCCTGGTCTTGATTATCTTTATAGCTGAGAAAGATCTTTCAGTAGTTGCTGTAGAAACTAGAAGAGTGAGTACAAGTCTAATCACTCTGTCAATAAGAGGGTAAATGATGGAATTTCTGGTTCTTGCTAGCCCTTGACGTAATTCAGATGTAGTTGATAAATTAATCATATCTGGATGTTTAGGAATATCAAGCTCAAAATGTTGTAAATCCATCTTCAAATGCAATTTTTCTTGTTCTGTGAAATCTCTAGAATAAAATTTATCAACAAGTTTGCAAATATCATCACTATTAAATGACTTGTACCTTTTCTTGGATCTAAAGCCATGCTCAAAGCAAGTAATTCAACAGTATTATCATTGAACCTGCTATTTAATTCTTGCAATTGATAATCAATTGTAGCACATAAGATGTTTACTCTATAAAACTTGTCAGTAGAAAAATCACCTTGTTCATTACGAGCACGACCTCTCCTTCCAATATTTGACAATGGATAATTTTGAAAGGATAATTTTGAAGCTTGCACTGAAATGGATAATTTTAAAGCTTGCACTGAAATGGACCAAGTTTAAGATAAGCACGACGAATTTCATCTTGTTGATTTATAGGATATTTCCATATTGGAGGACGTAGTGCATGATTTCTTTCCAATGAAGCAAGATCAACTTCTTTAGCTGCCTCTTTATTTTCAATTCTAGGAGACTTTGAAGAAAGAGTCTCAGTATTTGACAATTCAACATTAGGAATAGACGAGGGAAAAGACTCACTATTCTTTCTCTTAAAATAAGAATCAATAGTAGTACTTTTCTCCATAATACTCTAACCTACAAAGAGCATGAATTATTTCATGACCAGTATGATTTTAAAAATATTATTAATATTAAACCACTAAAAATTATATGCAATTAATTTATATGTTCATGGCAGTTAATGGATAAAATTAGAAACATTAAAATAATTTTCTATGTTCATAGGCAGTTAAATAATTTTCTACGAAAACACGCCTTATTAAATAATTGCTTTTCAAGTTTCAACACACCTATTTATGTCCTTTGGTTCTTCCTTCTTCGGTAATTCTTTTTTCTCTTTTTCTTAAAAGTAATAACCTTTGCATCTAGTGCCTGAGATGAAGGAAAAATAAGCACACATGAAAGCATATTGAGAATTAAACTTTACAGGTTATCAACTTATCAGTTAGCATACTATTAGAGGTTATGTTATAGTACATTAATTAAATTGAATTTTACCAAAAAAAAATTAATTAATTAAATTGAGAATTACAATATAAAAAAGGAATATTTGCCATGTAGATGAATTTGATAATCGCAATGGAGTTTCAAGAGGAAGTTTAAGCAACCAATTAAGTAACCTTACCATATTCCATCACAAGCTATTACAAGAAACTCCTCATCATGATTGATTGCAAAGCTCAATCTGTTGGAAAGAATATATATAAATAATAAATTTATATTTGAGAAAAGAAATTAAAGAACCCTACGAAGGAAAGAACTGAAGAAGTATAAATGTATAACTTTATAAGAATACAAATAACACAAGCAGTCAAGCACAAAAAAAAGAACATTCCATAAATATGAACTTGTTTACAGGTATATAATGCACAAAATATTACAAATACTTGGAACAATGGAACTGGTTAAGGAAAAATAAAAACTTGAGACAACAACTATTAAAATTTCAATATAATGATAAAATCTGACACTTTGCTTTACATTGAGAATTTATAACAAAAAGAAATTTCCTTTACCAATTGCTTTAGCCAAGTTCAAACTTCAATTGATGGATTTGGATAAAACCACCAGCTTTTATAACATTAAAACCTTCTTCTGGTTTCAAGATTGTTGCACCTTCAATTGTTATGTTATTTTATATTTCAACTTGAAGAAGAAGAGGGTTGGTTTGGTGATAATATGGGTGAAAGAGGACTTGCTAGATTTGATTAAATATTATAAAAGTGTGTCCAAAAGTTTTACTCATTCCATATCAGGTTAAAACTCATGGGTAAAATCAAATTTTGCTTAAAGGTTACTATTCCATGCCGTCAAGGCATCAATTCATGGGTTTTGTCAGTAAATCATATTTAGATGTCAAAAGTTATACACTCAGATATGTTTCATTCACACACGCTTTCCATTTTAAAATAACAATTAGTTGATTACTAGAATTTGTATGATCTAGGTATAGACTTATAAATTCTATAATCATAGGTTCTTGCGTTAATGCTTATTTTATGAAAAAGTACTAAGGGATTAGGCTTTGGTTTAGAATAAAGGATTGGATTACCAAGGGATTAAGATTTAATCAATTATAGAAAGAACGGTTAATAATTTGATCATGAATGTAATCGTAAGAATAGACAAAACTCATTAAGAAACCATTGGGAAAGTTGAATCCTAGCTACACCTCTTTATTAAAACTTAAAACCAATTTCTAGATTTATTAATTCTGAATTTATTTTCTAAAATATTAAAAACCAAAAATAATTTTATAAATTCAGTTTTTAATTTAATTACAATATTCTCAAGAAACCATTTTATGATTGACCCAACTTTAGTTAAATAGATAAATTATTGCTTGGTTATCAATTAGTCCTTGTGGAATCGACAACTTTTCTTATCACTTTATTACTTGTACGACTGGTGCACTTGCCGAGTTCGCAACAAGTTTTTGGCGCCGTTGCCGGGGACTGATTTAATCAACAATAATTTTATTTATCAAATTATAGAGTGGATCATTTTATTTTATTGTCATTTATTTTTCTTTGATAGTTTAATATTTTTATTTAGTTTATTTAGTTTTGTTATTTTATTTTATCTTAGTTTAAATTGTTTACTTTAATTTTAAATTTTAAATTTTCTGTTAGTTAGAGGTTTCCGTCAGTTGGGTCCACTGAGCCTTAGTTTTCTGGTTTATGCATCTGCGAGGCACTGTTAACCCCAGTGACCTACAGTACGAATCAGAGTTAGGACGACTAGAAAGAACCAATAGGAAGCGTTTGACCGCGAAGAAGACATAAGACGCATCGAGCTCCAATTCTGCAAAAGAACTAATCATGACCGAGGATAACCAGAACGCACCAGAGGAATTAATGAATCATTTTCTAAACCCTAATTTCTCGCATTCGACTGCGAGTATTAGAAGACCTAAAATCCCAGCAAATAATTTCGAAATAAAAGCTTCCTTCCTGATTTTAATTCAAAGTAATCTATTCGAAGGAGACCCGATCGAAGACCCAAACCGCCACATCACTAAATTCTTACAATTGTGTAGTCTCATTAAAGCTAATAGGGTTCCTCTTGAAGAAATTCGATTGATGCTTTTTCCTTTTTCTTTAAAAGGGAGAGCACTTAATTGGCTGGAATTGCAATATGCTAATAGCATTTCCACGTGGGAAGAATTGGTTGAGAAATTCCAAAAGAAGTTTTTCCCACTATCCAGATTCTCTGAGTTGAAAGAACAGATTGACAACTTCAAGCAACTCGAAGGCGAATCCCTGTGTGTGGGATGAGGGAGATTTAAAGAACTAATCAGGAGATGTCCACAATATATTTTATCGAATGGCGAGAAGGTCCGAATCTTTTACAAAGGGGTTACGTCAACATATAGAATACTCCTTAATGCCGCATCTGGAGGTAGTATCGAAGAAATTACTCCAAATAGAGCTATTGAGTTAATTGAAAAGATGGCATCTGAACTTTTATTATGCAATAGGAGAAATTTTTCTCATGCTATAAACATATTTTATATGAGACCGACATCTATTAAAAAAATAAAAAAAATTACACAAAATCAAAAAGTTAGGAGAAAATAATTCTCTTATAATATGAGAAAATATTTTCCCAACCCTTTATGGGCATAATTATTCAGGGACCTCAACCTTTGAAGTTTGAACACCCACTTGAGCTACAGATCAGGGGCTTAATATCAATGGTATTAATATAACTTTTTGATCTATTGTGCATCCATTTATTCAATTATTACTTCCCTTTCACCAGTAAATGGTTCCAGCATTTCACGAAAGGTAATACAGTAAAAAACTAAAAACAAAACTTTATATGCTCGTCATCTTAACCCCAAAATTATAAGTTAACTATGATAAGTTTTATGTGTTCCCCCATTTAGCTTACACGTTTTTACTTTTTTAATCTTGAAAATGTAAGAGGAATTAGTAGCTCAAGAATATTTGTGAGGATATCTTGGTTAACATAAATAAATAAATAAATAAATATATATATATATATATATATATATATATATATATATATATATATATATATATACGGAAAATTATTTCTCCTTTAACATAAGAATTATTTTCTCATATTAGTGGGAGATCATTTTGCGTGTAATATTTTTTTTATTTTTTATTTTTTGTTTATGGTAGGACCCATTTAAATTATGTATGTGTAGGAATTTTTCTAACCTCATACCTCATGTTAAATGAGAAATGTAAAGCCGATGTATATAACTAACAACCTATTTGATCGAAGGACCAAATCATTGAAACCAACCCATTTTGATAGAAAACAATAAAGAGACCAAAGAATATACAAATACTATCAATCACGATCCATGTTCCTCTCACAATCATACAAGAACAGTTTCTCCAGTGTCCCATAAATCTTCACTCATCATTTCTTCCACTACACAACCAAACATATATAGCGAAAACAAGCCTGCTGTGTGTAAACCATATTTGGGCCCAAGCCATGATAGCCAACAAGGGCTTTTCATGTCCAATGGGCTTTATCATGGGCCTTAATGCATTTCCTAAAAGATAACCTAATTAATTTAAGGCTGGACTTTCCAGGTACAATGCATGGCGATGACAGCAAGAACCAAACGTCGTCAGATTAGTGGACACGAGGAAAAAAAAAAGCAAACGAAGGAAATGACGTGATTGGTCATTGGACACTTGTTTCAAAGTGAACGACAATAATCAGAACACAACACAACAGAACAGAACAGAACAGAACAGAAACTCTCTCATTTATTCATTGACTTCTACTTCCACATTTTCCACTGTAGCCAGTAGCTAGCTATGAACTCGAGGGTCATTGTTGTTGCAACTGTGCTTGCACTCTTCGCCATCTCCTTCTCCTTGTTCAACCCACAAAGCCTGTTTGCGCCACCTCCTGTTCCTGGATCCAAGGACATCCTTCCCTCTGCTCGGATACTCAATGTCACCGGAGCCGTTGGACCGGAGAGTCTTGTTTTCGACCGTGACGGTGAAGGTCCGTACACCGGCGTCGCCGATGGTCGGATTCTGAAGTGGGAAGGGGAGGAACGAGGTTGGACTGAATTTGCTGTTACCAGTTCCAATAGGTAAACGCATAGCTACTACTACTACTACTACTTCTACTCTTACTACCCCTTTGGTGTTTTCACTTTTTTATCATCATTTTTTGGGCTCTATATTATTGGATTAGTGAGACTTTAATTGGGTCAGTAGCTTTTAGGATATTTATTGATTTTTGAGGATGAAAATTTCGATTTTTCTGTTTTGACAGTAGAATAAAGTGAAAGGTTACGTTTTCCAATTTGAAAAATAGCTTCTTTACAAATATATGTAAGGATAAGAGTGGGTGTAAAGATTGCTGGTTTAAGGGGGAGTGTTAATTTTGTTTGTTTGTTTGTGGCAATAGAGTGTGGAATTTGGTGACGTCCTTTAATTAATGCATCAAAAGTGGGTTTTAGAACACATTAGAAGATTAGATTGCCACGTACGTATGTTGTAAGACACTGTAGAGATATATGATAGCTGCCACATTTTTGTCATGCTAGAAACAAGAGTCATGACTCATGAGTCATGACCAATGTTTTGTGATAATTCCCTTGAAGATAGGGCATTCACAGTGTTAATTGTTATGGACTATTTAACTAAGAATATGGAGTTTATGAAGTAAGAAGCACACCGTGTTGTAGCAACAACATGATTTTTCCAACTAATTTGAACCAGAAGAGGCATCGAGAGTAGGTTTCTTCTTTAGGCAGCATTATTTCATAGAGAATAGGATAAGGTCTTATTCTACAAGACAGTAAGGAAAGTAAAAAACAAAAATACAAAAAAGTAAGCGTATGCATTTTTTGTCTTTAGTTCCAAGTGGCCACAGCATTGTTTGAGCAAGCAAGCTTGCATACCTAATTCCCTGCCTGTATATGCTTGCAAATTGTGCGCCAATGATTGTGCCCGTTAGGCTTCTGTTGAAATGATAATAAACAATTTTACTTTTTTTTTTCCCTTTAAATTTTTGTTTAAATGGGAATTTTTAGTCAGAGGAGGTGTGCAGCATAAGCATGTTCTGATATCTGTTAGAGAGATATAAAATAATTAATTTAGCCTCACTCAACGCCTTTAGGTTTTGGGTTGAAGTTAAATTAATTATTTTATACCTCTTTAACAATAACTTTGTTTAAATGTCATGACATTGGATCTAATGACTTGTAGGTTTTAGGATAACTTTACTTTTTCTTATGAATTTAATGAGTTTAGTTGCATGATTTTCAAGGACGGAATGTGTACGTCCATTTGCACCAGAGTTGGAGCATGTTTGCGGGAGGCCATTGGGACTAAGATTTGATAAGAAAAGTGGAGATCTTTACATTGCTGATGCCTACCTAGGCCTAAAATCAGTTGGACCTACAGGGGGTTTGGCCACCCAGTTGGTAACAGAAGCTGAAGGTGAGCCTTTGCACTTCACCAATGACATGGACATCAGTGAAGATGAAGATGTGATTTACTTCACCGATTCAAGCACAATCTTCCAGAGAAGGTAAGTTCAGCACAAACGCATACCTTCCTTTTAAGTTTTTCTGCATTTTGATAACTAATAGTCCTTATGGTGTTACATTGTCACTTCAGTGTTTTTCAATGAAATTTGAAAAATAATACTTGCACATTAATTACCACTCTTCATGAAACCCCGACTTACTAGGGTAGGTGAGAAAAATCTTTGTACACAATCCTACTTTTACCCTTGTATTTTTGCAAAAAAACTTGTTCCATTTATTCAAACCCGCGACCTCTCAATTATAAGAAGCAGCTCTATCATTGCTCCAGGCTCGCCCTCTCAATTCTTGCACATTAGTTCAAATATTGCCCTCCTAGGATCCTGGTTTTGGAATGTGAAACCTTGTAGTAGGGAGGGAAATTTTCTTACAGAGTATGAATCACTTGTTCAAGTCAAATCAAATCAAAATTGTATGATTGAAGGTTGAAGAAAATAACAATCAGAAAATTTGTGTTTTTCTCTCAAACCTTTGTAGATAATGTTTGCTGTTCTAATATCCAGCATGATAATATAAGTACTAATAGAAAAGTAGAAAACTTCTATTTGCAGAGAATTTAGAGTCTAAATGTTGGCCACTTTTGTTTGCAGGCAATTTATGCTTATACTTCTTAGTGGAGACAAGACCGGCCGGTTAATGAAATATGATAAGTCAACAAAAGAAGTGACAGTTTTATTACGCGGCCTTGCTTTTCCCAATGGTGTTGCTTTAAGCAAAGATGGCTCATTTGTTGTGGTAGCTGAAACCACTACTTGCAGGATCCTGAGGCTTTGGCTTCATGGACCTAATGCTGGTCAAGTTGATACTTTTGCTGTGCTGCCAGGTTTTCCAGACAATGTAAGAAGAAATTCTGAAGGGCACTTCTGGGTAGCTTTGCATGCAAAAGGTAGTCCTTTTTCGAAGTGGGTTTCTTCCAATTCATGGGCTGGGAAGGCATTGCTAAAGCTTGCATTTAACTTCAAACAATTACACTCATCATTTGCTGGGGGGAAGCCTCATGCTACTGCTATAAAGCTTAGTGATAAAGGAGAGATTTTAGAAGTCTTGGAAGATTGTGAAGGGAAGATCTTAAAGTTCATCAGCGAAGTGGAAGAGAAAGATGGGAAGCTTTGGATTGCATCAGTGTTGATGCCATTTATTGGCATCTATGATTTATGAGAGTGCATCATAGATAAGATGCCATTTGAATTAACTTTTAAAATAAAGATAAGATGTAGTTGTTTATGCAGATTGTGTAGTATTATCAATTACTTTTGAGTTATTGATGAGGCTAGTTTTTACATGGAAGTTGTGCACAAAACAGTTCTTCAGAATTGTTTGTTTACCCCTACTAAAAAGGTGCACATTATTGAATTAAAAGAGGAACAAAACAACATTTGACTAGGAAATTAATTAGTTTAGAGTACATATATAATATATATCTTGTACATTGACATTTTTTTTTCATTGAATTCAATAATCTCCATTTTTGAGTTTCATCCTTCGTCTAAGCATCAATATACCCTTCTCATTGAGACTACGGTTAGGAACAACACTTGAAACAGAATATGGTTTTGTATTAAGATCTTATGAGCAATTCCATGCGGAATATATGAAGCATGGCAGTGTTATAGGCTTTGGGTGGGGTCAGGTGGTGGTTGAAGGAGAAAGAAAGTTAAGGCTTGAGAGAGCCCACAAACATGGCTGGGAATTGGGATCACCAAAACGGGTTCTGAGGTTTGCCCCAAAAACGATAGAAATTTGAGTAATTCATTCTACTTTTCCCTAAACATTTCATTGATTACAAATACCTTATCTAGTTAACATATTACACAAAATTCTAAATTTTATTATAAATTTACACAAAATACAAAAAAGGGATTGAAAAATTATTCGTTTGTAGATAATTTCTGACAAATGATGCTTATACCCTATTTTAAGTAAGAAGAATGTATTATTTTAGCGTAATGATGCTTTCACTCTTAAATATTTAACCCACCAAATAAACATTGAATTTAACTGCATTAAATGAATTTTTTTATGTTAGATTAAATAGCAATAATAAAAAAGACATTTAATCCCGAAATATACAGTAGTCGATGGCTCAGCTAACAAATCTGTTTTGCCCAATAGTATTTTGAAATTAATTGTATCACTTTTTAATTAACATAATAAATTTTTGTATAAACGTTCATGATAAAGGAAATATTTGTGATCACTATAACATAACTCATCATAATCCCCAGATTGTAGTTTAAAAAAAGAAAATTAGAAAGTAAGAGTATGAGGAAATGAGAAGCACAGGGGTAACACTTTCCTTAAGTGCAACTTTTTTTTTTCCTGGTGAGAGTAACTCATTTAGATAAAATATGTTTGTAAATTTGCGGCAAGGGTTTAACATTTTTTTGTGAAGCAATCCTCTTTATTTTTCCTTTTCCGTTCCTTAGGTCAAAGATCAAGTAGGGCCTACTTTCTTGAAAAAGCAAAATGCGACTTTTCTTTCTTCTTTCTTCAACTTTGAGGGAAATTTTTTTTGAAATGACGCTCTGCTTCCTTTTCTAGTATGTCTTTGTGATACAATGAGAAATGGACACTTTTTTAACTAAAAAATTTCATATATTAGGGTAAAAAATAAAACATGAAGTGGGTTTTTTTTTTTTAAATTTATTTGTAATATAAAATTTATTTATTAAAAAATTTCTAGAAAATAAGACAATATCAAAACACTTTTTTTAAAACGTACACCCTTAAATGATAGTTTAAAATTCGATCTTTTGAAAAAAATTTAATTTTTATCTCATTAAAATAATAAATATTTGTATTAATTTTGAGAATAATATTTTGAAAATGTTCTATAGACAATATTTTAAACCATTAATTTTTTGCGAAAAGTGTTTGTCATTTTTAATGACATAAAGTTATGTCATCTTAAGAGAAAGATAAACACAAAATAAATTTTTTTATTTAAAAATTAAATTAAAAAAACCGCCAATTTTCTCTCTTCCATAATTTTCATTTTTTGTGCCTATCTCTCTTTTAAAATAACATAACTTATGTTATTTAAAATGACAAACACCAAACCCATTTTTTTTTCATGTTAAAATGTATCCCATACTTTAAAATATATTTATCCTAATTTCTATTAAATACTTTATTCAAAGCCTCTTCTGACGTATCAGTGTCCATTTCTGCATGATTTAAAAACAAAATCAAAACATATGAGTACTGGAAGTATAAAAAATGAATTATATTCAACAGTGATCCATCGAATTACGTCTGGAGAGTAGAGAGTGATGTGCCTAGTCATTGTAATTGTATTTCTCAATTTTTGTGGTTCATGCTTTAAGCACTTATTAGATAACTGGCAAAAATCTAGGATATGATTGTTAACCCAACTAAGTAATTAATTTAAAAATAATCCCATTACATTACTCATTTAAATATTTTTATCACTAAATTAGTTATGAAAAAGGTTAGTGTCGTATCCAAAAAAAAAAATTCACTAAATTAATCTCTCAAAGCTCTAAAACGTCACGATATTTATATTTAGAGGTAATATAAAAATAAATTCATAATTATTTAAATTTTTAAAGGTCTAACTTTGTAACCGTTTTTTAAAAGAAAGAAAACATTTAGTAGTTGAGACTTTAGAGACTAATTTGATAACAATTTCTTTTTAAAAAATAAACATAATAACATTTTTAATATTGAATAATTGAACAGTTAAATGTTTCTAGTTCTACAATATCAATATTTGGAAATACGCTATACATACCCTTCAATCCTTCGTTCCAATTGTAGGCGAAGTATTAATTAGTGTTAGTTATATATAACTCTCATCAAACATTAATGCTATAACAGCATCAACTGCACTCCAACATTATTAATCAGTTTAACTACAAACTAAATTCAAGAATTTATCCATTGATTATAAACATCAATTATAAGATTCAGATCCTCTCGGATGATAAAATGGTCTTGTTATTTGATCACAATCACTCATTTAACAATTATATAATTTCCTCTCTCCCCTTTATTTTATCACCAATGAATGAATGATTTGTGATCAAATAACATGATCAGATAATCACTTTTCCACCCGAGAATATCCAAATCCATCAATTATACATCGAATTAATTCAACCATTAAATGATATACTAAGAGTAAATACCTTTTTTGGTCCTTATCAAATTTCACGATGCATGTTTTAGTCCCTAGCAAATAAAAAGGCCCATCGTGGTCTCTAAAAAATTCAAAATGGACCCGTCTAGTTGAAATCGTGGTCCCTCACAAATTTAAAAAAGACCCATATTAGTCCCTAAAATGACTAAAATAGGTCTATTTTGAATTTCTTAGGAACTACGATGGGCTTTTTTATTTGCTAGAGACTGAAGCGTGCATCGTAAAATTTGATGAGGAGCAAAAAAAAGTATTTACTCATATATTAATTATTTGTCCTTGAAATTATCGAAAAGGTTTGACTGCACAAGAATAAATATTAGTATAGTAGGCAAAGAACAAAACAAAACACTTAGGTGCATAAGTACAGAAATTCTCTTCACTCTTCGTTTTTCTCTCACCCTCTCTTCAAGGATGAGGTCAGTGCTGCACTACACGGCGGCCGTCGCGGCGGTTATTGTGACTGCTTGGTTTGCGTACAACAGCGACGGCGTTGGGCCATCCGAGGATTCTGCTGAAACATCCTTCGGCGTTGCAAAGGTTTGGCATTACGAGGCTGTTCCAATTGAGAACGGCGCCGTTGGACCAGAGAGCTTCGCCTTCGATCCCGCCGGCGAAGGCCCTTACACCGGCGTCTCCGATGGAAGAATCATCAAATGGAACCGCCTTCAGAATCGTTGGCTGAACTTTGCTGTCACTTCTTCACGCGGGTTCTACCTCACTCTCTCTATAATGTTTTTGTATATACATGCACATGTTTTTCTTTATATAAAATGAATATATAATTGTACTAAAAAAAATGAATATATAAAACATGCCTCTTACAAACTCTTTTCCATCTTCATAAAATGAAACGGATTAATTAAAGAAAATAAAGCATATATGTTGTTGTATTCATATCATTGCTTCATTCTTAATTCTTCTAAGAAATGTGTTATATTAAACCTTAGGCTCAGTTTAGTACACCATGATGATGGATAATTTATGAAAAATTACTTCCTGAGTCTCTGTATAAGTGTTTGTTTGTGGACAAAAAATCTATTAATGGTACTTGTTAAAATAATGAAAGTAAAGATTTTTTTTAAATTAAGTGTTTTTATATTATAATTTTTAAAAATATTTAATATTCATTTTTAAATAATTAAAACATTTAATAAATAATATTAAATAATTTTTAATCCGTGCTTCCAAACACTCATTTTCAAATATAATATTCTCATAAAGACTAGATATAGAACATGTTTGGATCCTCTTATTTTTAAACTAGAAACTACTTATAAGTTAAAACAAAAAAAAAAGCTAAAAAGAAGAAGCTAAAAGCTGTTTGGAAATTACATAAAAATTTTAGCTTAAAAATTACTTAAAAACACATATTTCAAGAAAATTATCTCTCTCTATCTTTATCACTCTTCATTTTTAAAAAAAGCACACAATTCAAGAAAAACAGATAAGAGCTTAAAAAAAAGCTCCTCACAAGAGCTTTTAGTTTTCATCTTTTTTCTTTATTATAAAGAAAAGAGATTTTCATTTGGCCTAACTTATGCTTATAAGTAGCTTCTAGCTTAAAAAAGAGAGGATCCAAACAGGAACATTGAGAATGGTTACTTGTTAATTTAGGCATCATGATCCTGTATAATTATTTTAGAGAGAAGTGTTTGTGATGTTAAATGATATAAAAGGGGAGAATGGAGGAGAGAGAATGTAAAAATATGTCAAAATAATGTAATTTCATTAAAAATGACATAATTTTATTACGTTTAAAATGACAAATATTTTTTTCCATTATTCCATGCCTAAACAAATTTTCGACAGCTAAAATGTCTCATTTTATAATGAAGTATAAGTTGTAAATTTTTTAAAACACATGTGATTTCTATATCTATTGCAGAAATTATTTTCTATCACTGATAATACAACAATGGTGAGGTCCATTATATTTATTTTTTTCTCTTTCTTTATTAATTTCTCTCTCCCTCTTTTTTATGTGTGGCAGAGAAAATGATTTCTATAATAAATACAAAAATCATTTCCCCTTTCTTATTTGCTGGTGATCCATTTATGTACGTATGAGTTTTAGTGCAACTAATTCCCCCCTCTTTTTAATAGTAAGAACTGATTAAAGAGTGATGTGAAATTGTTGGCTAATTTGACTGACGTGTGGGCAATGGGAGAAGGTGGAAATTGAGAAAAGTGAAGGGTTGCAAGCAATTAGATAACTTTAAGGTTTAGAAGAAAAAATGGCATGGTTGTTTGTTTGTGCATCATATACAAAGTTGTTAAAATATGTTATGACTCACTAATCGATCTGTTACATAATATGAAAATTTGTGTTCGGGTTAATTCATAAAAGATTTCATATCACATTTGTGTTTGAGAAAATATAATTTACAAAAATTTCATATCATATCGTATGTCATATCGGGTCAATAAGAATTTTTTTTTTTTTTTTTTTTTTTTTTTGATAAAAACACCATACAAATGAATTTTCGTGTTAGTGCATTTATTCTTGGGCTAATATGGTACTGTAACTGTTTGTCTTTAGGGCCATACTAAGCATTTTTGCCAAATCTAGACGTACTTCACCAACCGAATATCTCATTATGGTGGAAAGTTGATGTGATTGTTTTGGTTAATATGGTTCTATTTGTTTTTAGCCCATGCCTATGCCATCCACAATTCCACATACACCTAAGCATTTTTGCCAAATATATCTTTACACGCTACCAACCGCATAGAGAAATATTTATCTTTTTAAATAATATAATTTGTGTCATTTAATTTTTATAAAAAAATAAGATCCACGTTTTTTTTATCGACACTTTCTCATAATTTATCTTTTTTTTTCACTTCAAATAACACAATTTTATATCTTTTAAAATAACATATACTTTTTCCATCTCAATATGGTACAATGTTGACGGGGTTGTTGTGGCAGAGATGATGAGTGTGGAGGACCATATGTTGAACATCCCAAGACAGAACACATTTGTGGGCGTCCACTTGGATTGTGTTTCAGCATACCATCTGGTGACCTCTACGTTGCTGATGCTTACAAGGGCCTAGTTGTTGTTGGCCCCAATGGTGGCACTGCTAGAAACGTAGTATCAAAGGTAGAAGGTGAACCCTTGGTGTTCAGTAACAGTGTTGACATTGATCAAAGAACTGGAGCAGTGTACTTCACCAGCAGCAGTTCAAAATATGAGAGGAGGTAACTCACAACACTCACTTATTCTTAGCTTCTCTCATAATCTTCAGTCCCTACTTGAGCCCCAAGTATCCCTCACCATACATCATTCTCTAAAATTAAATTACAGTTGATGTCTTATGACCCATGCGTAAATAATTTTATACTATAACTTTTAATACAACCTCTCATTAAGAGCTTTTAGGATTAAAGCCAACAAAATGCATGAACCCATTATATCAAGAGCCATTTTTATGAATTAAAATATGTTTAAAGTTTCTTAAGTCATAAGAAATAAAATTATTCTTCCACATATATAAAAATATATGAAGTCCAATAGACCTACCATAATTGGGTAGTGATTTTTTCAAATAAGGACCTCCAATAAAAAGGGACCTAAAACAATTGATGCCTCTATCTTTATCTGATTTTTCATTCTTTTGGTCTTTACAGTTACATGAACATTAAGATTGATGTAATTAATTCCCCTTTTAAGATTTGATTATATCTGTAGCATGCAAATGCAGGAATTACGTATCTCTCATCCTAAGCAGAGATAAAACAGGGAAGCTAATGAAATATGTACCACAAAAGGAACAAGTTAGCGTTCTTCTAAACAATCTTTCATTTGCAAATGGGGTAGCACTAAGCAAAGATGGTGACTATATTCTAATTGTAGAGACCACCAATTGCAGAGTACTAAGATATTGGCTAGAAACGCCTAAAGCTGGAACCTTGGAAGTCTTTGCAGATCTACCAGGTTTCCCAGACAACATCAAACGGAGTCCAAGAGGGGGATTTTGGGTGGGAATTTACTCAAGAAGAGAAAAACTTATCCAATGGATTCTATCATATCCCTGGATTGGAAAAACTGTGGTTAGGCTTCCTTTGGACATCACAAAAGCTTATTCATATTTGGCTAAACTGAAAGGAAGTACTGGATTGGCTATTAGGCTAAGTGAACAAGGTGATGTGTTGGAAATTGTTGAAGACAGTAGTGGTACTAGAGGGAGGTCTATTAGTGAAGTTGAGGAAAGAGATGGGGTATTATGGGTGGGATCCGTAGATGCACCCTTTGCTGCTAAGTGTAGTATTCTTGTAGCACAAGGATAAAGCAAAAGGATGTAAGATGTTTTTTTAGTGATTGTCTACATGATAGTATAAGGAAAAGGGATATGGGCTATGTTACCAAAAAAGAAGAAGGATATGGGCTATGGGCTATGGCTGTCCTAGTATGTGGAATTAAAGATATTCTTGCATAGTTGTGAAGGAAAATTCGCATGTTGTGAAATTAAATGCACATGCAGGGCACTCTCAAGTCTTCTAATTGCGAATGGAAGTTTTAAAGAAGCCTCTCAGACTTACAAAATAAGTGATTCAACTCTCAAGTGATCAAGACCAATAATAAAAAAAAAAACACTACTCTAGTGGTGAAGAGTTTGGATATGTTGTATTAAGTTATATGTTTAATTTCTACTTGTATAAAAAAAGAAAAAGAAAATTCTAAGTAATTAAGGCTAGATATAGTGAAGGTATCTAATATATATATATATATATATATATATATATATATATATATATATATATATAAAGTTTGGAGTGAGAGGAAATTTCTATCCTTTAAAGTTAAAGCAAATTAACGAAAAATTATAATGTCATGAGCTAAGTTCACAGCCCTCTTGGTATATTGTTTTGTGTATCTAAACAAATGTGTGTAATCCCATAAAAGCGTGATTGGAAAACCCTATTTGTTGATACGAGGACTTGGTTAATGATGTGATCTGTACTTTTTTCCAAAAATTATCTAAAAAGTTGAGGGTTTGCCTTAACTTCGTCGCCGTCTAACTTTACCTAAACTCTTTTTGCACTAAAAAAAAGTATGTATTATTTGTGGGATTTTTGCTAAGTTTTGCACTCCATTTATGTAAACGGATTTTGTGCATGACAATTTGTTCGACTCGTAACATATGTGGGTTTAAAATTAACCATTTTGTTATAAAAAAAAAATAAAAAAATTAATCATTTAGTGTCTGTTTGGATCCTTTTATTTGTAGCTTCTTTTTTTTTTATAAACAGAAGTTAGGTCAAATAGGTTTTAGAAAAAAAAATTATAATGAAATTTTTTTTATATATAAAAAATGCTCTTTTTTATAATGAAGAATAAAATCCAAAAGCCAAAAGCTTCTAGGAGGAGTTTTTTTTAAGTTCTTATCAACTTTTATTGAATTGTGTGCTTTTTTTAAAATAAAGAGCCATATATATATATATATATATATATAGAGAGAGAGAGACTTTTCTTGAAATATGTACTTTTAAGCTAAATTTTTTATGTAATCACCAAATATCTTTTATCTTTTTTTAAGCTCTTTTTTTAGTTTTAATTTAAAAATAATTTTTAACTTAAAAAAGAAAGGATCCAAACAGGCTAGTCTATTTAATTAGGTTGTAACTTTCTAGCTTATCAAATATTTATTTTAATTTTTTTTAAACTAGCTCTCTTACTTAATAATAATAGTAGTAATAATAAACCTCTTTAGCCCATATAGCTTCTATGGATACAATTCAAAATTCAAAATAATTTATTTAAAAAATAAACAAATCCTAAAACAATTACTTACCAACCTACGGGCTAACATGGGCCGAGCTAAAGTTGGCTCTTTTAGGGGCCAAGGATTACACTATCATCTTTGTGGGAGTTAGGGGTGTAAATGCGCTGAGGCAAGCTAAGCTTTAACTTAAACGAGTCAAGTCTATGAACAAAATTTTGAGCTTGACTTGACTCATTAGCTTGGTACGAGTTAAATTAAAGGTTTGCCTTCGCTTGTTTATAAAAAATTAAAGGCTTGACTTGACTTGGTTCATTTATAATTATAAAATATTTTTTTTTCAAACTCACATACGTTCAAATGTTGAGACTATAAATGCAACAAATTCTGTATTCCTTCGTTAGAGAAAAAAACTCATAGAACCTACTCAGTCCACATATATTTTAAGATCGAAAAATGAATTCCGCAATTTCTTCTTAAACATTGATCTAACTCATGAAATAGAGAATGTGAGGGAAGAATATTTTAAGAAAAATATGTAATATAGACTAATCTTTAAAATTTACGGCTTCACTGCTAATAGAATAACCTATCCAAACTCAAAAGCTTATTATATTATAATCTTCAAAGAAGAATAGAGAAAGAGTACCTAAGTTGGTGAGTTGCTTGTGGAGTTAAAGACAATAGTAAAAAAATAGGATTAATGATTTAGTGACATAAAAATATATTATTTATTACAATAATATATCGGGTCAGCTCACGGGTTTCAAGCCAAGCCTCATTAAATTAGGTTTCGGTTTGTTTGCTAAACAAACTTTTTTAAAACTTGAACCTGTTCTATTTATTAAATAAGTCAGACCAAGCCAAACTTAAAGCAAGCCAAACCTTAGATTCTTGACAAGCTCATTGACTCATTTACACCCATAGTTGGAGCTGCCTTATCAAAACCTCATTAAGGAAACATTGATAAAGTAGAAAGAGTATAATACTTGTCCCGTTCTTGGTAGCAGCACTTAAGATCACTTAATCAATTTACTCAATTTGCTACACTAACTTCTCAAATGACGAAGTAGATAATGTCTATGTAAAAAATTTTCTTGGATGGATCTATGGAAATGGTTATATTACCTGCCTATTTAATTTTTCTATCTTTGCTATCTTTTTATTACTTGATTAAATTCAAATCAACGATCTCAAATGAAATAATTTTTTTATTTTACTTTTTATTTTTTTTATTTTTTTCAACTAATTATTTCTCTTTCTTTCAATCGTTGATTTAATTTTAATCAACGATAATAAAAAGGTAGTAAGGATAAAAAGATTAAATGGGTAGGCAATATAACTATTTCCCGAATCTGTTATACATCAATTTCTTATTTCATTTGAGATCATGCGTGGAATATTTTTACAGAAAAACATGTTTTGTTCCGCCTCGTTTAGAGTGTGTATGACAACCTTCCCGAATTTTCTTTTAATTTTTTTTCCCGAGAACATAAATGGATAGAAAACTCGTTTAATAAATCGGTTTATTTTTTGTTCCTGTGATGAACCGATTTAATTTTTGTGTTGGAAACGGAAAAAAGAATAAAAAAATTTTCTATTTTTTTTATTCCGGGCACAAAATGAGAAATATTTATCTCTCTTAATCACTCTCCACCACCACCACCACCACCATCCCGACATTATCACCGCCACCATCGTCCCTGCTGTCGTCGTACCACCAGTACTGTCGTCACCACCACCACCACTACCACGATGTCACTGCCACCATCACTACCGCCTCCACCCATCACTACTAGCATGCCATCGCTGCCGCCACAACCACCACCAATATCATCATTGTCACCACCACCGCCACAAACCATCTCAACCATCATTGCAGCCACCGCCACCACGCCGCCACCAACCACCACCACCATCATCGTTGCAGCCATTGCCGTCACCACCACCACCATCACCACCACCTTCGCAGCTATTGGCATTATCACCGCAACCATCACCACCATTTCCACCACCCCCGCAACCATTGCCAGTATCACCACCACCATTGTCGCCACTACAACGCCACCTCTACCACCACCACCATCATCATCGCAATCACTGCTGTCACTACCACCACCATAACCACCACTACCTTTGTCGCCACCATTACCACCATCGCCGTTGTAACTACTGTTGTCACCACCACCACCATGCCATTACCACCCAACTATCGCCATGCCGCCACAACCACCACCACCACGTCGTCACCACTGTCGCCATCACCACCATATAGAAAGGAAAGTGATGATCCAAATTTTTTTTATGTTTAATAAGAATTATTTTTTATTATATTATTTGTTTTGTGTTATCAAACGCAATTCTCATTCTCGGAATAAAAATAGAACATGTTATCCAACACATTTTTTTCTCATAAATTGTTCTAAGGCACAAAAATAGAAAAGAATTGTTTCTTTTCAGAAACAGTGCCAGAGAACGAAACAGTTGCCATGCATACCCTTAAAGCATCCTCCCTTCAATTATGGTGTTAATTAATAAAATCTTAAAGAAAATTAAAATGCCAACAAGTAGATAAGATTCTAATTTTTATTGTTGTTTCAGGTTGTTTTATACTAGAAGAACAAACTACTACTAATCTGATAAGTGATAAGAAGGAGAAGTTGGCATCAGTTGAAGATAAATCAAAAATCAAGAATATAAAGATTTAATCAAGATTCGGTCGTCCTCGCTTTTTAGCTCGCTCAGCGAGAAAGTGAAGCGAGAAGCTCGCTCTTCATCTCGTAATAGCGAGCAAAACAGCGAGGAGCTCGCTCTTCAGCTCGCAATAGCGAGCACAGTGGCGAGAAGGAGAAAAGAGCTCGCTGAGCTGCTCGCTTCAACGAGCTCCTCAGCGAGCGGGTCCAAAAATAAAAGCCAAGTTTTGAGCCTATAAATAAACGTGACGAAGCCTTCAGAAACATACGATTCAGAAGACGAAAGAAGGGCGAATTCGGAGACGAAGGCAGAGGGTAGCAGCGGAGGAGAAAATCTGGAGCGGGATTCCAAAAGAGGAAGAGAAGGAGATTGAAGTTCATCATTGATCATCAACCAAGTTTTATCGTGAACTCTTTTTATCTTTCATTATTTATTATTCTGACTTTATGAACATGTCTGCCTAGTTTATTTATGTAGTTAGGATTATGGATCCAATGTGAATCCTAGTTATGGTTTAATTTAGTTTCTTTAATAAATTATTTCAGTATTTGTGTTTTACCTTGCATGAATTTTCATATCCTTGTATGAACTGATCACTCCTATAGGGATTTGAGGGTTACGGCTTGTAATAGACATATTCGGATTTTAATCCTGACTGGGGTAAAATACCCATTCTTGTATGATCTAGACACAGGCTTGCTTGAATTGTAGACTTCATAATTCATCGTGTTCAATGCTTATTCTAAGAGGGATTACTAAGACATTAGGATTCTAATTAGAGTAAAGGGTTAAAGTCACTAAGACATTATGATTTAACCAACTATTTTTAGAAGTTGAATTGTTTGAAATATCTGAGGTAAATTATTATTGAAATTAATTTAAATTACTCTAGGAGGATCAGAGGTGAAATAATTTCTAACTGCAGCTTTTGTTTTTGATATTCTAAATTTAATTCTCAATTCTTGCGTTCTTGATATTCTTGTTATTTACTGCAATTAATTTTAGTTTTAATTTAAATTCAAAAATTATTCTCAACAATCAATTCGAGTTTTCCAAATTAAAGGGAATAGTTATAATAGTACTTGGTGCATTAATCCTCGTGGGAACGATATTCTTATTCACTACTTTATTCCTTGAAACGAACAGTATACTTGCCGTAATCGCAACAATATGCAAGCAATATTGTATTCATATAAAAAGTTGGAATTTCATCCTCAGAAGGCACATGTTACTTGATTATGCTTAAACATTTATGACTTGCTTGCTTGAACAATTAATTATGACATA